TAAATCCAGCCTCTTTGCTCCTGTTTCAATGCAAGGGGAGTTTCATAACTGTCTTACAGCCACTGCCCATTGTCCACAAACCCAATGCTAACTGCAAAAACTTTTTTTTTTTCAAATTTGTTAATCTCATATTTTATGTAGATATACCCTATCACTGGGCCAGGAAAAAGATGGGTTTGGAATATGCGGTAACAGGGGAAAGTAGAACATTTTTCTTTGCTAACAATTCTTGTTTACCCACATGACTAAATGTATGTTTGGTGTTGTTTATGATCATGGACAGCGGAAGAAACAATGAGAGCTTATCACCTTAGTAAGTATAAAAAAAATTATTTGTTCATTCATTGAGAATCTGTTATATGTCATACTATTCCTTTATAATATAGCTGTTATAAACTATGTTGCCCTCTAAACAACTCAGGGATAGAAATGCTTTGGTTCATACCACAAACAAAGTAAATGCCATTTCCCCTTTCTGCATACAACTAGTTACTCTGAAAATTCTTTTTGTTGTTGCCTTACTCTAACATTAGGTCTAGGATTTAGGATTAAACAGAATCAATCAAACAAATATTACTCATTAATAAAGTGCCGCTTCTTCCCAAATGTATGGGTATGAGTCTTCTTCATTTTGTTTTCCTGGACCATGGAAGAGAAAGATGAACAAAAGAGGTTACAATGATAGAGAAATAATTGATGTGTGAGTTTAATTTTGTGTGAGTTGGTCTGTTTTGTCACACCTTCCCTACTTGTTAAGCCTATATTCTAGAAGTCTAGTAAAGACACAATGTTCCTATAGAAGAACATTTTGGTAGTTCATGCCTTTAAAACAGTCAACCAACTGACTGATCTGGATTGTTGTGTTTTTTTTTTTTTTTAATGTTTATTTATTTTTGAGAGAGAGAGAGAGAGAGAGAGAGCACACAAATGGGGGAGTGGCAGACAGAGAGGGAGATACAGAGTTCAAAGCAGGCTCCAGGCTCTGAGCTGTCAGCACAGAGCCGGATGCTAGGCTTGAACCCATGAACCATGAGATCATGACCCGAGCTGAAGTCAGACACTTAAACGACTGAGCCAACCAGACACCCTCTTTTGGATTGTTTCTAAAGCTACACCATCTCAAGGTACATATCCCTATCCACAGAGTGAAGTACAAAATAAAACAGAAATTTCTGAATGGGAATAATACTGGGAAATAACATAAAGAGCTGATCAAAACATCAAGAAACTAAAATCTTATCTTAAATATTAAAAACTTTTTAATAAAAACAGAGCTAGTTGCTAAATTACAACCCAAAATAGTTGCTATTCAAGCTATGTTTCACAATTCACATGGTTCTAGTAAAGATCTGTGTACCTTCATGGGAAGGAAATACCACATACATAATTTAGATGAGTTAGATATAACTAGGAATTGGCTACCGATATAAGAAAAGAGACTACTTAATTATAACAGAATAAACTTTTTTGGTGTTTGAGTCCCCGGGTAGTGATATGCTAGAAAATTGGAAAGGAAAGTTGTACAAAATATGTAGATAATTCTAGGGCCTATTTCCAGCTTATGTGCAAGTGGGGCTAATAAAATGTGATTTCTCTACACTATCAAAGAAATACCCCAAATCTTGTTTTACCAAGATGGCATAAAAATTTCTAAATTTATCTAGAAATGCAACTCAGGATTTATTGAAACCAGTAACCAAAAGGTTAATGGTACTACTCACCACTGCAGACTACTAAGCCAGCTGCAATTTTTACTCAGACCTTTCATTTGTCTTTAAATTTCCCAACTCTCCTCCTCCTCCAGGGAGTGAGATTTGAAGCTTGCCCTCCTGTCTCCTTATCTGGCTGCCTCTCAAATAAACCCCTTCTTTGCTACATAACTCAATGTCTCAGTGATTGCCTTTGCTGTGCATCTAGCAAATGAACTTGGGTTAATTTACATTACAACAAAGGAAACAATGCAATCCAGTGGAGAAGTAGGATTTTTTCCCAATGAATGGTGCTAGATGAACAGAATATCCATACAGGCAAAAAATAAATAAAATAAAATAAAATAAAATAAAATAAAATAAAAAACTGAATCTCTACCTCACAACTTACACAGAAATAAATTCAGTGGACTGCATATCTAAACATAAAATGTAAAACGATAAGACTTTCAGAAGAAAACATAAAAGAACATCTCTGTAACCTAACAGTAGGCAACGATTTCTTAAACAGGACACAGAAAGCACTAACCATGAAATCTAAAAACTGGACAAATTGAACTACATTAAAATTCCAGCTGGGTGTCAAAAATCACAATTAAGAGAGTGAAAAATCAACCAATAGAGTAGGATGCTATACACCATAATGCATCTGACAAAGGATCCTTATCCAGAATATATATAACATATTATATGTAATATATATATATATACATATATATAGGGGAGGAATAGAGAAAGGAGATCGAGGATCTGAAGCAGTCTCTGCACCAACAGCAGTGAGCCCAATGTGGAGCTTGAACTCACAAACTGCGAGATCATGACCTGAGCCAAAGTTGGATGCTCAACTGACTGAACAACCCAGGTGCCCCCCGCCTCAGAATACATATTTTTAAAAACTATTAAACATAACAGCAAGTGTTTCGTGAGGATATGGGAATGCAAACTCGTGTAGCCACTGTGGAAACAAATATGGAATTTCCTCAAAAAATTAAAAATAGGGGCATCTGGGTAGCTCAGCTCAGGTCATACCCCCATCAGGCTCAGCGCTGGGCATGGAGCCTGCTTAAGATTTTTTCTCTCCCCCTCTGCCTCTCTCCTGCTCCTGTGTGCTTTCTCTCCAAAAAAAAAAAAAAAAAAAATTAAAATAAAAAATAAATTAAATGAAATAAAAATCACACAACGAGATGTTTACCCCCCCCCCCCCCAGAAAAATAACTCAAAGGTTTAAATGCACCCCTATGTTTATAGCAGCATTATTTACAATAGCCAAATTATGGCAACAGCCCAAATATCTATTTATAGGTGATTGGATAAAGAAGATGTGGTATATATACACAATGGAATATTATTCAGCCATAAAAAAGAATGAAATCTTGCCATTTGCAACAACATGGATGGAGCTACAGTATAATGCTAACCAAAATAATTCAGGCAGAGGAAGATAAATACTATATGATTTCATTAATATGTGGCATTCAAGAAATAAAACAAATGAGAAAAAAAATAGATAAACCAAGAAACAGACTCTTAACTGTAGAGAACAATCTGATGGTTATTGGGGAATGGGGATGGGTTAAATAAGTGGTAAGGATTAAGGAGTGTACTGGGTGATGTAAGGAATTGTTGAATTACTATATTGTACACCCAAAACTAATATTACATCGTATGTTAAGTATATTGGAATTTAACATCAAAAAACTATTAAGTATTAATGAGCTAAAGACATACAACTCAATAGAAAAATGAAGAAAAGACTTGAATAGTCACTTCATAAAAAAGAACAGAGAATGGCTAATAAAGATGTAAAAAAAAGGTGTTCAACGTCTTTAGTCATCAGGGAAATGCAAAAGAAAACCACAATGTAATACCACTAACCACACACAAGCAATAAAATAAAACCGTGCCCCATTGGGTTAATGAGGTTGAAACCAGCAGAAAGTTTAAAGCTTGTTTTTCAGAGAACTGTTTCTCCCTAATCAGCTATTGTGTCTTTTCAGACTCCATTAACAAATCCACTAGCTGCCTCTAAACAAGCCTAGACTCAATCAAGGTCAACTGATATGGTTCCAGCCTAGGAACAAGCAAGGCCCTGCATTTCTTACCTGAAATAAGAAGCCCCAAACCCACCTAGTTTACACCTGCTCTCAGAGGATGCTGATAGCCTTTCTTCTTGTGTTAAGATAACATCATGAGCTCAGGGGCTGAATTTAGCCTTCTGACGTCTCCATTCCCAAAGTGAACATGGAATGTATCCTACATATATGTTTGCTCAATGCACATGCTCCACCTTTCCTCATGTTTCCCCAGACTTTTTTTCAGTATGTATAAATCTCAATCCCTATGATTATTAAAAAACAAAACAAAACAAAAAACAAACAAAAAATTTTTTCTTTCCCCCTTGGTGAAGCACTTTTGAGGTTTGTCCTCCTAGCTTCTGTTCAGCTGCTTCTCCAATAAGCTCTCCTTGCTGCATACCTGATATCTCAGTGTTTGGCTTTCCTTCACATAGGTCAGACAGATTTGGGTTCAGTTACAGAGCAACCACCTTGGAAAATTGCTTAACATTATTTATAGAAGTTGAACATCATAATATCTTCTGACCCAGTAATTCTAATCCTGGATAAATATGCATGTTTCTACAAAAGGCATGTTCCAGAACGTTTAGTTACAATTACTATTTTCCCAAATTGTAAATAACACAAACTGTCATCAACGGTAGAGGTGATATATTTAGGCAATGGAATATCAGACAGGAAAGAATATGAAAAACTCCCAACTACACACAAGTAGCTGAAACAAGTATAAGTTGGGCAGGGAGGGGGTACCTCAACACAAAAAGAGTGTATGCGCCATGATTCCATTTATACAGAAACTGTTAGAAATCTAGGTGATGGTTACTTTTGGGACACCGGATCAGAGTACTGGAAGGGGATCTGAGCGGGTATTTCTAGGGTGTGTGCAATGTTCTGGTTCTCGATCTATATTCGGGTTATATGGATTTATTCAGTTCGTCAAAGTTTACCCATATGTATCCAAAAGAAGAAACTGAAAATTGAAACAAATAAAAGAATAGTGGCAGCAACAGTCCAAACGTTGCATTTTAAAACCAAGGAGGTCCTAATAAACTGCACATCCCAACCCCCTAAGCCTTGCGCGCGCATCAGGAATATAACGTGAAAACCTCATTGGCTGGGACTAAGTGGCGCACTTCGAAAGCCGCGTCTTAGCACCGCCCCTTCCGTCTCCAGGGTGTCCTGCCTTCCCTACAGCCAGCATCCGTGTCGTCCAGTCCTACGACTTCGGCCCCCTGGACTCAAGTCCTTGAGGCAAAAAGTGACTCTTGCGCTTGGTGGCAGCCTCTTTTCGGTGACCACCATCTAACTCCCATTTGCTACCCGCCGCCATTATGAACATCCGCAATGCTCGGCCAGACGACCTGATTAACATGCAGCACTGCAACCTTCTTTGCCTTCCCGAGAACTACCAGATGAAATACTATTTCTACCATGGCCTTTCCTGGCCCCAGCTTTCTTACATTGCTGAGGACGAGGACGGGAAGATTGTGGGCTATGTCCTGGCCAAAATGGAGGAGGACCCAGATGATGTCCCCCATGGACATATCACCTCACTGGCTGTGAAGCGATCGCACCGGCGCCTCGGCCTGGCCCAGAAGCTGATGGACCAGGCCTCTCGGGCCATGATCGAGAACTTTAGAGCCAAGTACGTGTCCCTGCACGTCAGGAAGAGTAACCGAGCAGCCTTGCACCTCTATTCTAACACCCTCAACTTCCAGGTTAGTGAGGTGGAACCCAAATACTATGCAGATGGGGAAGATGCTTATGCTATGAAGAGGGATCTCTCGCACATGGCCAATGAGCTGAGAAGGCAGCCAGAGCTGAAGGAGAAGGGCAGGTATGTGGTACTGGGCTCCAAGGAAAACCAGGAAACCCGGGGAAGCACACTTCCTAGTTCTGAAGAGGATGGTGAGGAGGAGAAGATCCCGGCCGCTGATGATAGTAGCAATGACCACAAGGAACCCAGCGAGTCCATGGAGAGCACCGATGCCCAGAACAGCTCAGAAGATTGAGTCTACCTCCTAGAACCTGCTTAAGGTATTCTGTTTTCCCTGATCCAATCCCTTGCTACCCTAAATACCGTGGCCTGCCCCATCCCATCCTACGCCATCGCATCCCAGTCCTGCTGGACCACCTGGTGACCTTGAGGAAGAGTATAGACAGGGTTAGAGCAAACTCATTGCTCACTACTGGAAGTTAATAGGACTCCCATTCATACACTAAAAGTAGATTAAATTCAGTAAAAGAAACCAACATTTTCCCTGCTTTTTTGGTGTGAATTATATTTCAGGGTGTCCACATAGTTGGTGGAAGAAATTTCTTCTTTATGGAATTACAGCTAATAAATGCAGAATGAATAATAGGACTATAAAATCACTGTTTTGCAACTCTTGATGAAATAATAGATCTAGCCCACTGTCATCAGTGGCTAACACTATTAGGTAAAAGTTGAAGCCACTTTGTCATTATGAACCAGACTGACAACACTTGAAGTCACTGGGCAAGTATAACATCACTAAAAGAGTGCCTGACAAGTGTCATATGTCTCCTAACGCAATAGTAAGTGCACAGTAATACCTGTGAAATATTCTTGCCCAAAGAAAATTTTATGTGTGAGCATATGTGTGTGACATTAATCTTGAATACAAACAAGGCTTTAGATCTAACTATCATTTTTATAAGAAAGAAAGAAAAAAAAAAAGACAGGGACATTAAACCTTGCCATGATGCAATCAGCCAAATCCAGAGTGAGACAATTTTTACAGAACAAATGACCTGGTTTCTCCAATAAACAAAACGTCATTTTTTAAAAGGGAGGAGGAATTTGTTAAAATATATTAACCAAATGCTACTGTTGTGGACATTGTTTGGGTCCTGATTTAAACAAGTTGAATACAAGACATTTTGAGACAACCAAGCAAAATTTGAACACGGGCTGTGTTATTAAGGAATGGTCAATGATTTTGTTTGGTGAGCTAACTGGTATTGTATTTTTTTAAGTCTTTATCTGTTAGAGATACATACTGAAATAATTTGAAGTGAAAGAATAGGAGGTCTCAGATCTACTTTAAAATATTCCAGCAAAAAAAAAAAAAAAGAGGAAAAAAGTTGGGGGGCAAGAAATGTATAAAATAAGAACGGCAACATTCTTGAGGTTGCCAATAGGTATTTGAGGGGTTCATTGTGCTATTCTTTACTCTTTTGAATGTGTGAAAATTGACATAAAAATTTCAAAGAACCAAAATTATTATACTTTCTAATACACGTTAGTACTAATACAAAGCAGCCATGAAAAAGTAGTTTTAAAAGACTATTTCATTTCCCTCAGGAACTTTCTAACACCCTAAGAATTTCAAGGATCAGTGAGCTACTGTCAGTGTAGAAGCTTTAAATTCTAAACACAGTCACCTTACCCTTACATGTGGAAAAGGCAACTTTCTCATAACAAAGCCCAGTCATGAGTGGTAGACATTACATATAGTTAAAATAAATGCTGTTTGATTTACTCATCCATAAACATTTTTACTTGCCAGGGCATGAGGCTTGGAGTTGGTACACAATTATGATCTGGACAGGTTGATGTTTATATCACATAACACTTAAAAATAAATGCATTCTATTTTTTTACACATTTTAATGCTGAAACCCAAACTGTATTGCACACTAACCCTATTTTATTTTCATTCATGTGGCTCCATAGATTATAAAAATTTGTTTAAAAAAGAGTCTGTCCTCAGAGGAGTCTTTGCATCTGGCTTTTAACAACCTGAATGTTTCAAAATGACTGATTCATTTAGTCTAAGGTTAAGATAAAGTCAGGAAAACAGTCTAAAAGGGAAGGTAAAATTAAACAAAACTTAATTTCTTAAGAGAAGTGTTGTCAGATTTTTATCTGCCTTAAGATCCCTGAAGGAGGTGGGGGTTTGGTTAAATAAGTGATGGAGATTGAGGAGTGCACCTGGCATAATGAGCACCGGGTGATGTAATGAAGTGTTGAATTGCTATACTGTGTACATGAAACTCATATAACACTATATGTGAACTAACTGCAATTAAAATAAATACTTAAAATCAGGGGGAAAAAAACCCTCTGAAGGGTTCTGTCAAGACTATTCTATCTAATTCAACAAGCCTTTTAAAAAATTACCAATTTTCAAATTCCTGTATAGAAGGACTTATATAATATTGATCTCATCTTTGTGGTACTGGCTTCTCTTCACTTGTTACCCTGCAGCTAAGAAGGATTTTAAGTGGAACAGAGCTAGTTGAAGATAGCTTAAAAAAAATAAATTATATATATTCATATATAAAGGATTTATATTTTTTTAATTTTCATGTTATTTAGATTTTTATTACATATATTTACATTTATATTTATATGTATATAGTTTGATGAATTCAAAAGTACTTACTATGAGAAACAAAAATGACTGTCACCCTAATAGGGAACAAGAAAAAATAAATACGAAATAAGAAAATTATTGTGTGACAATTATAAATCTCAGGGTCCAAATTCAGGCATAATTGAAATGTTTCTTTATGTTACTGTTACTAAACTTTATTTCTAAGTTCAAGGAGATGTTTCCTGCACTTGGCATCATTATCCTTCTAAGTTGATATTTGCTGAGTCATCTTCATGGACCCCATCAATCTTTGGTCCTCACTATATACTTCAAAGTCCTTTCTACCCAGAGGCCTCTTAAGTTCTCTACACTCTCTGTCATGTTTGAGCCATTTTCCTAGCACAAGGATTAGTCTACATAGGCTAACTGTTCTAAAGAAAAAATAACCTGCAGTCTCAGTAAGTTAACAGAATACCAGCTTATTTCTCACATCTTAGCCGAATGTAGGTCATCAGTGCGATTGGGATATGAAAGGGAGAGGAAAAAAGAGACTCCTGAATAACTGTAAAGTTATTCAGGAATCCATCTAGAACAATTGTTCGTAACTTTTTTTGTTCCATAGCCTCCTTTGGCGATCTGGTGAAACCTAGGGATCCCTTCTAATAAAACTGTTTTTTAAAGACATACAAATTATATGGGACTTCAAAGGAAACCACTTTTATTGAAATACAGTTAGCAAACTCTGTTTAAATAAAATTATTCCCATATGAAATTTAAATATCAAGCAGTGGGTCTCATTATGTTACTTCAATGAGAGTTTAGTTGTAGATGATATTTTGAGATACCTTCAACAGCTGTAATATAATTCAAAAATACCCATGGTTTAGGTGTTCTGGTCGGTGACAAAGCCACACGTAATGCTGGTACTGCTATGCATTGGTGCCTACATTCATAATAGAAGGAAATGCTAAATTTCATTAAAGGTTAATGAAAATACAGGGATTTTTTTGTTCCAGATCCAAGGCCATCATCTCCTAAATTCTATTATTAAATCTCAGATCTAGGGGCGCCTGGGTGGCGCAGTCGGTTAAGCGTCCGACTTCAGCCAGGTCAAGATCTCACGGTCCGTGAGTTCGAGCCCCGCGTCGGGCTCTGGGCTGATGGCTCAGAGCCTGGAGCCTGTTTCCGATTCTGTGTCTCCCTCTCTCTCTGCCCCTCCCCCGTTCATGCTCTGTCTTTCTCTGACCCAAAAATAAATAAATGTTGAAAAAAAAAATTTTTTTTAAATAAAAATAAATCTCAGATCAAGAACCCCTGATTCAGTGACTCTGCCATTTTCTAGAATCATGTGTCCACTACGGGTTTACACACATTCAGCTTGCAGATAGGGGAGGAGAATTTACACAGAGGTTTATGTAGGTTTTAAAAGTCTGTACCACTTTTCTAACTAACTGCAGGGGAAGCTAGGAAATGTAGTTTAGCTGTGTGCCCAGGAGGAAAAATAATGACTTCTGGTAATGAGACAGCATAGTTTCTGCAACAGTGGGAAACATCCTAGTGGTGCTGTGGAGTATCAGAAATTCTGCTTCCCCGCAGAGCTTGGGAACATTCTGCTGCTCCCTCTCCAAAATGTGGCCCAGGGAACTCTTGAGGCCACCCAGTGCTACCTGCTTAGTCGCGTGACACATGTTTTCTGCTCTTGTACAAACTTGGGCATGGGAAACTGGGATTCTGCCACCTTGCTGCCTTTATGCCTCTCATTAAAGCCTGGAAGAAATGCCCCTTCTATTCTGAGATCCCTTAAACTGCCTAAAATTTCAGTTATCATCCTACTCAACAGGGTCTCACTAGTATATACACTTAGTTGTCTGAATGGGAAAAGCCTGTGAGGACAGAAAGAACAGGAAGAAAAAAATTTAAAGGTTAATTATCCTGCCACAGTTATGGCACACCCTCTTGTGGAGCTGGAGTTCAAATACCTACGGAATAAAGTCCTGAAAGAATAACTTTCCATTTTCCTTTATCTCCTCCATTGGGTCTAGGCAACAGAGATGGTTAAAGGTAGAAGTGATGGTGAATAGGGCAATTGGTAAAGAAGACTGAATGTCTTCATGTACAAAGTAATAAAAATTACTGCTAAAAAATATGAGAACTCACTATGTTGTAGATACTATTCTAGGGAGTGTCTATGAATGCCCTCATTTAATCTTCATAACATCCCCAGAAGTAGGTACTATTACTCCACTTTACAGATGAGGGCTGCATGTCTTACAGATAATAAGTGGAGAACAGGGACGCAAACCACGGTAGTGAGATTCCGTGATGGTACGGATTAAATGAGACAGTTCCTGTAAATTTCTTAGCACAATACCTCACGTACAAATATTCTGTAAGTTTTAGTTCTTAATATAATCTGTAGTAATAGGAACCATTCAACCTCTTTCCTTTTCTTTTCCACAGTAATCAAATGATAGACTGGTGTGTATGAGCAGCAACAGTTTGCAATCTTGGAAGGGAGATGCATCTTAATGATTAAAATAGCTTTCACTGACAAGCTGAATGTCAAAGCATTCAGCCGAATCAATGCTAATCAACAGCAAAGTTTCTAGGGAGCCATAGCAATGAAGACAGGTCAGTTCAAAACATGCTAGTTGAGGCAGGAATGCCATCAAGCTGATGCTTATCTCCTGACAAGAAATATGTGCTTGATGATTAATAACAAAAAAGAAAAAAAAAACGCAAAAATCTCAAAATTTTCCACTGACTTGGCAATATTGAGTTAGCCAGGGTTACTTCAGTGACTCTCCTTTCTGGTTTATTCTTTCTGTCGCTAAGCTGTCATCCTAACAAAAAGTTGTTAAATGTTCACATGAGCATTCACTGAAATAGACTGTTCTTAATTTTACCAGACAACTAATTATAACTGGAATGATATAATGAAATATGGAAGAAAGTTAGAGACTGACAGGTCTGGTAAATTCCTAGTATAACCTTACCCCAGATATGCCAGAAACCATAGATTTCAATGCAAATGCACTCTATGAAGATAAAGAGGGGGTTGGGAAGAGATAAAATATTGTTTTTGAAATACTAATCAGATAGATACAATTTGTTGAATTATTTATAATCTCTAACAATGTCACTTTTCAGTCAGTGAATGATGTATATTTAGGGTGAATGAAATACCAACTTTGTCAGGGGTAACTGATAAAAGCAGAGGTTTTTCCTAAATTCTGTACTCTATCTGTGCTCCAGTATATAAATTCTAATGAGCTTTATGGTAAAAGATACAAGGAAGAGATGATATGTGAATGGCAGTGGTTCTAGGAACCAGAGGAACAAACGCAAAAATGCAGAATGAAAACATTCTGCAATGCTTTTCTATGGACTAATATCCTCAAAACATCATAGTTTTTTTTTTTTTATTTCTTTAAGCAAAGCATAAAAGTAAAGCATAAGTTCTGTTTTGCATTCATAAAATATTGTTAATAATTAAAATATTTCTCAGGCTTCCATTGCCCACCTTTAAGAAATCCTGGATATGTAAAAATTTGAACTTTAATAAGCTCAATTCAGGGCTTTAATATTCATATTTTTAAAAGAATCATTATAAAAAATGTCTGTACCATTAAACAGCAAACTACCCTAGGGCATTTATTATTTCATTATTTGACTTTTAAAATTTAACTTCTTAAAATGATCAAGCAGTACTTACTGAGAAAATTAAAACAACTATGTAATATTTGGTTTTTGTATAACTACCTTTGCATGCCTATCTTAATTCCATTTGAAACACATTGAAAAAGGTAATGATAATAGTCTTTCTGACCCGTTCTCTCACATCTTATTGTTTTTCTATTACAGTAAATACACTTTAAAAAAAATAAGATCTTTGTATTGTGTGCCTCTGACTGTCCTGCAACTTGATTTACTGTTGTTATTCTAGAAACTGACTTTTCTGTAAGTATGATTTTGTGGAAAACAAAATGCTTTTTAACTTCTCTGTGCATCCTAGCCTTTATGTTCTTATTTTTATTTTATAGACGAGAAAAATGCACCTTTCTTGTTGTAACGTCCCATTGTTTTGTTGGCAGCCATTCAGCAATGGGCAGCAATACTCGACTAGCTTTTCTTTAACTTATATATTCCGTTCACATATCCTATACACCTTTCTACCTTACTAAGGATAGGGTCCATGTCTCATTTATCTTTGTTTCCTAAACTCTTGGCACATTATTCATTCATGGTAGGTACTCAGTAAATATTCATTGAAGGAAGGAAGGAAGGAAGGAAGGAAGGAAGGAAGGAAGGAAGGAAACTCCCAAATTACCTCTGCAGTAATTTTAAAAAGGAAAGTAGGGAAAAGGTATAAAAGGTACTACTTCCTATTACCTAATATAATTAGGACACCTTAAGGTTATGAATAAAGAGACATAATGGATATTTTGGTTTCATCTCCAGGCCTCACAGAAGGAAAATGTGACTTATAGAATCAGACACATTGTATCTAGCTTATCAAGATCTAAAAAAGGCCTCTCCTTTCTTAAGAATTGAAATAAATTTCTTTTTGAGTGGAGTAGGATGGGCTAGAATTTGAAGATGCCAAGAAAAAGCATCTTGGTTTCTTTAGGTTTAAAATAGGATTTTGCAGGGTGTTTCAGTGTTCTCCCTCCTCCCCGTTCTCCTGGAAGAAGTGGCTTTTAGGTGTCAGGAAAAGTTCATGTGTCCTCATGGCTGAGAGGGGAGAGAGCCCCAGATCCCTGTGTGGATCTTTGTGCTGTCATCTAAATTCTCACTGGCATCCACAGAGATAGATCTAGTCTAAACGGGTTACTGGTACCTTATTGGTCTGCTGCTAAAGCCAGTATTTTATTCTTTTAGAGTGGTTAAAACCTGTAGCCCTCTCTTGCTCACCTGCTTTCTTCTCACTTCTCAACAGCATTGCAGTTCCTCGTGTCTCAGCCACGCCTGCCCTCTGAGCCCTGGCTCAGCCTGTATGCTCTGCAGCACCTTTTCTGGGGTCATCTCACAGTGACCCCAATGGCTTCTCACTCTCAACAACCTTCCACATATCCCACTGGGATTATAAAGGAACACCTGGATACCAGAGCCTCCTGCACAAGAGCCAAGAAAGTCTGAGGCCTCCCATCACGGAACCTTCTTTGGCCTCCTCACACCATGCCGCCGTTTTACTCTGTTTGTTGTAGTCCTGTGCTGGGTGTGGTTGTCTAGCAAGGTTGCCTCTTCCTGGAATGCTAAACAGGAAGCCCCTCTGCTTTCAGTTTTTGCCACTATTTATCTGGGTTCTCATCCTTGAGGGGGCCATCAGAACCATCAAGTCAGACCTCGTGCCCCTTTCCTCTTCTTTCTTCCTCTTTGCTGGAAGAAGTATTCTGTTTTCTCTTCTTTTCTCTGGGAACTCATCGTCTGTCATACCCTTCCCTTTCTTGAGGAGGTATTCTCCTTTCCAGTGGGAGAAAGTCATGAGCAAGGGCCTCTACAATATAATCAGAACTTGGAGATATTAAGAAAAGGACAACCAGTAATTAAATTGTAATATCTGATCTCCTTGTTTGTGTCAATTTGGTTTTCTTGTTAATGACATAACTTGCCATTTACTGAGTGCCAATGATATTCAGGCAATGCTAGGATTCTTATTAATGACATATTTAATTTTCTCAGCAACCTTACAAGGTAGGCTTATTATTCCTGTTTTATAGATGAGGAAACTGAAACTCAAAGAAGCAAAGTAAATATCTAGGATCTGAACCTGAGTCTATTTGAATTCAAGGCCAAACTTCCTTTCACTTTCCTATTACTACTCTTTGCATTCTATTTATAAAAGTGTGAAAACTATAGCAAAAAAAGAAAATCTATGGTTTAAAATGTTCTGTTGACTTGATCCATGGCAACTATATGTCATTTGTAAATATTTGTATATAATCCACCGTTATAATTCTGTTTTACTCTTTTTCTCCAGTAAAAATAAGTGAAGACAAAGTACTTTGACCTCTGCAGTGTAAGTCACCAGATAAATACAGAGTTACCATTACTTAACGTTGCTCTTATATCCCTGAATGTGAATTACCATAGTATATAACATTTCCTATGTTTAAATTTTTATGAAAACCAGTGTATATGGTTTTAAGTCAAATCCTTGACATTAACCATCTGATGACAAGAAATAAATCTGTTCTCTGTAATCATAATCAGCCCTGCTAAGCACTTCTTACAAATCTGCCCCAATGAACTCTAAGACTGCTTACCTAATAGTAAATGATTGCCTGAGGCATATAAAAGTTTTTTCCCTACACAATAAGGATTTGCTATTTCCTGTGGTAATACAAACCTCTCATCTATCTTTCCATTTTTCCTTTTTTCTTTTTAATTTTCTCTCCCAGCTCTAAAACTATTCCTTCCCCTCAAGCATGTGTTTATCTCTTTATTTTTAAATATTGCAGCTTTCTAACATCTGTCTCTAGGGCAGCATAATCTTACTGATGAAATATTCCATGTTTTCCTTGAGCCCTTGTCAATATGTCTTCGTGTTAACAGCTTAGCAGATGGAGAAACAGAAGGAGTAGCCTCAGCTTACCTGAATGATTTCTCTCCAGCACCAGGCACATTACTGTCTGTATTAACTTGATGATAGGAATTGGAGTAATTGGAAAATAAGAAATGATATCTGAGTTTTGCAGTGTTATTTACTAAAACTATTGGCTGCTTTTCTTTGTTACCATTATATCCTTTTTCCCAGTCTCCTACCAAAAGAAGGCAGAATTATAGCAACTACCTAGTTTGGACTGTGCTTATGTAGATAATGAAAGTAAAATAAACAATAATACTAATATTGCTTTGGATGTAAATTAGCATGTTCCCAAGTGGTTCCAGAGTAATAATGGTGATTTAGCAGCAGCAGCAGCTTTCTGGAACACTGAAACGGAGGGAACCTGTGACACTTCTGTTTGTAATAACATTGTTCTTCTTGCGTAGAACAAATTTTTGTCGTTTTTTTAAATGGGCTGACTTCTTTTTACTTAAATACAATCCTAGAAAGACATCAGCAAGACTTTGAAGCAAGGATGTAGGGTAGTTAATGGTGAGCACCGTTGTACTAGCTGCAGAGAATGACCCACACCCTCTCCTTTACTTGGAAGAACCTACTGGGTGGGCTCAGGTCTGTCAGAAAATTATTCAGAAATATTAATTCTCAAAGTGAAAACTTTTCTTTGGCCAAAAGAGAGAAACCTGCGAATGAAGCCTGTGAGTTACCTAGTTCAAATCTGTATGATTTTCCCTTTGAAAATGAGAACGAGGGGCAGGAGATGCTTATCTAAAATAAAAGTAATGGGGTATGTGGATGTGTTGGAAAAGTAGGGAGTTGTGCTGGAAGTTAGTTCAAAGCTGGGAAAATCTGGAAAGGATCAGGACTCTGAAATAGCTGAAGGGAAGTTTTCTCAAATTTTTACTTGCAGATGAGTCCTCTCGGGGATCATGTTAAAAATGCGGATTTTTGTTTCTATGGGTCTGGGGTGGGGGCTGAGTGTCTGCATTTCTAACTAGTTCCTAGACAACACTGATCTTGCTGGTCTAGGAACCACACTTTGCCTAGTGAGGGTCTTAAAGCTCATCTCCAACCTTGGAACTGAGTTCAGAACACCTGTGACTGGCCCTTGGGTCAGTTTGGATTAGACACTAATTCAGAATCCCATTCTGAAATACACAGTCACATAAGTACGATTTGTCTTTGGAATTTTGTTACATTACATTGACAGCCTAATAATTTCAATGAAAATTCCAGATATATTTCATCAAAACGTGTACACCAAAAAGTATATACACAGTACACAAAATATGTTGATAATAATTGACATTACATCATCTATTAGAGAGTTTTGATACATTAATATTTCCTCACCTTTGATGTCCAAACAAGTAAACAGTATATGAGATTTTTAAAAATTTCACTTTCCACTGTCACTCAATTTATTGTGTTCTTTGGTCCATAGACTGCTCCAGACACTAATAATTTTTTCCATGCTGACATCTGACACAGAATTTGAAAATGAACACAACCTTTTGTTTTGTTTTAAATTGGAGCATCAGACATCAGACCTTTATGTGGAGGTGGTGTGGGAAGCACTTTCAAGAGAGTTTTCTGTCCAGGGATGAGAATTTCTGGCCCAGGAGTTTTCAACCTATGCATCAAAGTCACCCAGGTGCTATGTTAAAGATGCAATTTCTCTGACTCCAGCTCAGATTGTTTCGCATTCTGCCATCTGAAAATCACTGACCAGTACAAGGTAATGAATTCCTCATAAAGGTAATTTTAAGGGCATTTTTTTCCCATGGTGATACTCCCCAGATTTAAATTAATTTGTCAAAAGTGGCAAAAAAAAAGAGAAGATACAACAAATTTTTGTTTCTAGTAAAACATATACGGGGATAGTTGAGGTGGTATATGAGAACTCTGTACATTCTGGTTACTTTTCTGTAAACCCCAAACTGCTCTGAAATAGTCCATTAATTAAAAAATAAAATATACATACACAGAATTTTACATACGTGTGATCATTTAATACATGTATATGATTATTCATGTATTTTACATAAATGTGATTATATTATGCATGTTATTTTGAGGACATCCTTGTTTTGGTCATGACTTGCCACCCCATCCTTTCCCAAATCCACCCACATCCCTTTCCTTTTCCCTAGCACGTTAACATAGTTTTATCCTGTGTTTTTTCTCCCAAGTTCTTGTAAGGCAAACGGTAGTTACAATTTAGCAATTGTGGTGTACAGAACAAGCTTGAAGAATAAGAACAGTCACAAATCACATTGGAATGTTCTTGCTTCTAGAACCAAAAGCTCAAATAATGCAATGTCCAGTTAAGAACCAGATACCAGGCCAGTGTGGAACCACATGCCCTTCTATTCATGTTTCATTAACTCCTCCTATCCCATCATCATTTGGGTGTTCTGAGTTAGAATTTGTATTAACGGTACCCAGCCAAAAACCAATGAAACAGACCAAGTGACTTATTAGCAAGGTCCTTCTTTATACTTTTTTCTAGACCTGAATGCTTCTTTGAAATCTTAAAAGATACAGTTCATTTCCTTGAAGCACACTTGAAGGGTTATTTAAACGCCATGTTTCCTTATATGGACATAGGAATTACATTTTGTGAATTTCTGGGGGAGGGAAGTCCTTTCATTGTAAATCATACATAAATTGCTTTCCTACACAAAATTAAGATAGATTTTGCACTTTGGGAGCGGGGTCATCACCTCCACTGCATATTATAAAAGCTTACCTAGAGAACATAGTCTTTAGCAAGTTGAGCAATTTTCGCAAGAGGTGGTTTAATAGAGTGGAAATCACAGACTTCAGAGTCCAAAGGCTTAACTTTTAATCCTGGTTTGGTTTATTACTACCTGGACATCCTCTGCCATGTCAATTTTCTCATTTGTAAAATAGAGATAAAAATAACTTCCATACCCTCAGGGCCATTGGGTAATGAGGTAGTATAAGAAAAACTTCACTGTAATTTGTAAGAAGACATGTAAATGTTATTACTAACACTTCTACTTTCAGAGGTTTTTATCTCCACATTCAAACCTGTGCAAAATAACAGTGATCATTCATTTTCCTCCCTAGGCATCCAGAAAAAAAATCAATGCTTTGGCATGACGAATGTGTAATATGTGTGAGTATTTTAAGGGATGACGTCTGAAGAAGGGAGTGAATTCCTATAAACGTAGGAAATCAACTATATATTCATTTAAAAAGGGGGGGCTTCTTAAAATTGTTTATCTCTTGCTGTCTATGACCTAAGCATTCATATCAGTAAGATTAGTCATGTAAATCAAACTGTACTTACCTCCCATTTGCATGGTTTTAAGTAAAAGAGATACACACACACACACACACACACACACACACACACGCACACACAGAGTGACCAAAGTTTTCACATACTCAAAAGCTTTAGTGAACTATGGTAGTGCATTGAGGCAAACATCTGGTTGGTTTTTCACACCCAAGCCCTAAAGAGTCCCTACTTTATTACTGAAAGCAGATACAATTTAGTTAAACAATAAGATGTTATAAAGAATTTTGAAAACTTATGGACTCCTTCGCATAAGGAGTCTTGTAGAAAGCAAATATATATATATTTTTAATGTTCATTTATATTTGAGAGAGAGCATGAGTTGGGGAAGGGCAGAGAGCAAGTGAGACACAGAATCCAAAGCAGGCTCCAGGCTCTGAGTTGTTAGCACAGAGCCCGATGCAGGACTCGAACTCACAAGCCATGACATCATGACCTGAGTTGAAGTCTGACTCCTAAAGGACTGAGCCACCCAGGCACCCCTAGGAAGCAAATATTTCTAATTGGACATTTTGTGTCCTGGGACAGTGTGCCCTACATAGACTCTCGGTGAGTGAGAGGTAATACTTTTCTTTGGTAAAGTAGAAGAAAGACTAGTGTGAAGGAAAGTTGAGAAAGAAGAACCAACGCCACGAGAGTGGTCTTATTAGTCTAGGAAGATGTACATTTGG